ACAGAAGAGTGCCTAGGACTGAGCCTGGAGGAAAGCTTTTGAATGGTCAAAGGGAGGAGAAAGAGCTTTCAGAGAAGACAGAGAACAGCTAGAAAGGGAGGAAGAAGGGAAACTAGACAGAGTGGGTTCACTGAATCCAAGGTAGAAGTGTTTGGACAAAGTAGAGAATACTGCTCAGAAGCCCAGTGTGATAGGACAGAATGGTGTCCTTTGGGGTTGGCTACAGAAAACACCACAGTGGGAAGAGACCAGGAGAAAAGACAAGGAGAGTTAGCAGGACAGGCCGGGCAAGTAGCCTGTCTGAGGTGGGTGGAGGGATGGAAAGTGTCCCCAGTGTGGTAGCAGTGTGCGTACCCACCTTGAAGAAGTTATGCTGTGAACGAGAATGGGAAGGCGGGCAGGAGCAAGACAGGATGTCTGATTAAGAGTGAGGTTTTTTTCTTTGCTTTTCTTAAAAGATCAGGAGTTACTAAAGAATGTTTTGTGTGTTGATAGGAATGACCCAGTAGGGAGGAGACAATGATGTTGCAGGAGGATCTGTGGCCAAAGGAATTCATTTATTGAGATATTGGGAGAGGGAGAGAATACAGAACACACCTCAGGGTATTTTGGGGTTTGCCTTATACTGGAGGAGAGACTTTTTGGTTTTTGCTTTTTTTTAGCTGTAACAAGAAAAAGAAGAAAGAGAGAGTGCAAGCGGATGCAGGAAGATGTGTAATGTGGTGATGGAAGGCGAGGGAAGGATTTCTGATTGTTTCCATTTTTTCAATGACTTAAGAGATGAGGCCATCAGATTGAAGTAAGGAGGGTACAAGTTGAGAAGAAATGAGAAAAGGCTGCTTGGTAGGGAAATGTAATTGTCTGTTTAGGTAGTGCAGAGGGCCATGTGGGATTTGAGAGCAAAATTTAAAATGAAACCTCACTAGAGAATTTTTTTTTCAACAACCTCCAGCAGATCAGCTGTAAATACTGAGAAGGGGAATGGTTGAGACAACCAAGGGGACTGGGCTTCTGCAAATTTTCTTAAGATACAAAGAAAATGAGAGGGATGTGGGAAATGAGGAGGTTTCCATGGGAATGATTATAGCGATGCACCTGGCACCTGAGAAGGGGAAATTAGGAAGGAAAGAATGGATTTTTGAGGAGGAATGTGATCACTGGACTGGAGTCTACAAGCTGATCAAAGAACTGTTGCTTTGGGAACAATGAACAAGTAAGAAGGACAGGAAATTGTCCACAGGAAGTATGTTTGTTTAAATGAACTTGTAGGTTTTGCTGATGTAAACTTTGTCCATATCTTTTTCCTTCAGATTACTGTGTTCTAGTTATTCACTATGTCCCTTTTTCCTGAGACAAGGAATTTTATACATGTATAATTTTGCTCCCATTTGCCCAATCAGCCTCTCAACTTTACACATAAAGCACAGCTTCTTGGTTTTCTCCAACAAAATCAAAATAGAGGAACTTTCAGTATTTGGGAAGTTATTTCTGGCAGAGCATATATTATTTTTTAAATGAATCATAAAATGTTAAAGGTGTTCAGATGACATAAGGAATATGTAACACCAAATCTCAAACTGGCATTCAGTTTCAAAAATAAATATAATGTATTCACATCCCAGGACCTTCTTCCCAACCAGAGGGAAATACCTTTTTGCTTTATGCCACCACTTTTTTTATGTTTATGTTTTTATTGTGGTTTTTTCTTAGAACTTTGGTTTTTTTCAAGTAGCTGAAGGTTCACAGTGTGCTAGATTTTTTTAAAGGTATTATTTTTAACAGTGTGCAATTCTCTTGAGACACATTTTTTAATTTGTTTTCACTTAAAAACCCCATTGCAATTTTTAAAAGTCCCTTTTCTATTTTAACTTTCAGCCTTCCCTGACATCCTAGTGCACCATTACTTCCCTATACCATGGCCTTTCATTCTGCCTCATCACTTACTGGATAAACAGATTTAAAAATAATTTTTTGAAAGGGTCCATGGGGAGAATATCTTCCAAACCTGTGTACCTCTCAGCATTGTGTTGCCTTTACACATGAGGGACAATCTGGTCCAAAATAATGTTCTTGAGTAATAACTACTTTGTCTTCAAACTGTTTCTTGTTGTTGGTGTTTTGCATACCAGCAAAGACACCTGACACCAAATTGGTTTGTATGTTTTATTGATAACTTTTCCCTGCCAGGACTTTTTCTTCTTTCTCTTCATAATTCAAATATTTTGCCATACTATATTCAGTTATGATTTAGCCTAGAACAGGATAAGTTCTTTCAATAGGAAAGACAGTTCTTTCTGATGCTCAGAAAAGATTTATCCTTCCCAGCTTCTGTTCCATTTGTTCTGGATCCTTGGTCAGGAAAATTCCATCTGTTCATGCTATGCTTTCTGCCCTCCATGGGGACCATTCTCAAATATCCCCTCTGATCCTCGATCAATTTTTTTCTCTACCTTACTGATTTAATTTTCTGTAATAATAATTCCACTTCTCATAGCTTCCTATAAGGTTTGTCCTTTCAGTTGATGCTTTTTAAATGAGGCAAAATTAAGTTGTCATAAGATGCACACAATTCGGGTTTCCAGTTTGATGAATGATAATAATTGTATATAGCCACTTAACTAAATTTCAAAAAAAATATAACAACTAGATATTAAACATTTCCATCACTCCAGCAAGTTCCCGTGGGGCCCTTTCCAGCCAGCTTCTCTCTCCATCCCCAGCCCCACCCCTTGGCAACCACTTTCTGATTCCTACCAATACAGGTTAGCTCTCCTGGTCCCTGGATGTCATACATATGACATCATACAGAGTGTGCTCTTTCGTGCCTGGCTTTTTTCACTTAACAAAAGATTTTGAGATTTTTCCACATTTTGCATACATCGGGAGTTTGTTCTTTTGTTTAATGCTGTGTAGTATTCTACTGTGTGACTGTGCCCCAGTTTGCTCATCCATCTTCCTGTTGGCAGGTCTTTGGACTGGTTCCAGTTTCAGGCTGTTGAGAATACAGCTGCTACAAAATGTTCTTGTACAACTCTTTTTGCAAATGTATGTGTTCATCTCTAGGGTAAGTACCCCAATCTGGAAACACTGGATCATATATAGATATATATTCAACTTTATAAGAAACTGCCAAATAGTTCTTCAAAGTGGTTGTACCTTGTACCTTCCCTTCAGCAGTGTATGAACATCAACATGATTCTATTTTTTAATTCTGTTTTCTTCTTTTAAGAATTTCATTTTCCAGCACAACCTGTGTACTTTTCATAGTGCCATGACTGTTTTTTTTTTCAACTTTTGACTATTTGTGCCATGTCTTCTCTTTGGCCAAGGATAAAGGCAATTTTCTGAAATTTTCTTTTGGATCCTGACGTAGATCTTTTCAGAGATATGCTCATCCTCTTATTCTGTTTATTACTACTTTCTCTCATTTTGAAATATTTTCATTAAGCTTCATGTCGCTTTTTCCTATTTAAAACTTGAGAAAGTCCAGATGTGCTTCCGCTTGTGAATCAACTACTCTTTGACCTGCTCTCTGTCTATGGTAAGAGGTTAAATAATGTTTGGAAGTCTACAGGGGAAGGGCAGATTGATTTTATACAAAGGTCATGTTTACGAAATAGTGGAATGTAGAGTGGCTATTACAACACAGACTATGTAAAATACAACAGCATTCTCCAAATTAATAAGCAAATACTTCATATTTAATCAAACATTTGGTCAATACACCAATGTCCCTCTTTCCCTTTTAAGCAAATCTTCATTGACTAGTACAGTATGCCAGGTATGTGCTAACCACTTCTTGTACATTTTTTAAATTTAAGGCTCCAAACAAGCTTATAAGATACACATTGTTATAACTGTTGTTATTGTTGTAGAAATTAAGAAATGAAGGCTTCAAAAAATCAAGGTTATTTGTTCCAGGTCTTACAGCTGGAACGTCAGAGAGCTTTACCTAAACATTCTAGGCCATCCCTATACAACACAGGTCAAGAACTAGAAGTCACATGATGAATTTAAATTATGGATACCGAAATCCTAGAAAATTTGAAAGTATACCTACCCGATTTTTACATGTCTGTGAAATTTTTCATCAACTGACTATAGTGTGGAACAAAAACTCTTGTCCATTTTTTTCTTATTCATGACAGCTTTTCTTTGAAGGGAACTGAGACTTGAATTATTGCAGAAAATGATGAGAGCCATTATTGTTAACATGTACCTATCTGGTGCTCTTAAATTTCAGGAAGACAAGGTACATCAAGAATGCAAAATAAGTCCCTATGCTCCACACCCTTTTTCAAAAAATGTTTCATTTTTCACACACAGTAATAAGAGATTCACAGCAGATATGCTTAGACATTTGGGCCCAACTCACCTTTTCAGAGCAGCATTGAACACACTCAGGAAAAACAATTAAAATGTACTGTGACACACAAGGGGACATCACTAATTCATCAGCATGGAGAATATCCTTTGGCCCAGCAAACCTGAGACAGCCTGTGGAAGCTGCTTAAAGGCAAACCAAGTTCCTGACGGCTCAGAGCTCCCCACGCTGGCCCAGACCGAGTCTGTGCTCACTAGGGCAAGGCCAGATCATTTTCTTTTGAGATAGTATTTGTGATGACAAGAGTTACTGAAAACTAAACACACACAAATTGTAACCACTAAATCCTAGCCAGAAGGACAAAACAAAAGAGAAAAAATCAAAGAGCTTTTAAAATAGCCTCCAAAACGCTTTTGAAGGACTTACCCTTTTGAGCCCCATCTCTGAACAGTAAACAAGGATAATGGCTTTCAGGATGTTAATGCCATCAAAACTGTCCCTTTACATACATCTTCTTACTGCTTCCCATCCCACTATTTAATTAGCTCAAGATATTACTACCAGATAATATAACTAATTTTTTTTTTACATGGAAGTTACCTGGAAATTAGTCACATTAGAAAGTTAAATGTTTAACGGACCATTTTGCCACAGCTCTGAATGGCGAGCTACTAACCTGTACCCAGCCCTATTTTCACTTCATGTTTCAGGACTTCTTGCACATTGAGAAAGCCGCTGCTGATCCTGTGGAGAGAGGAGAGAGTCAGAACAAGGAGACCCAGGTGGTGCTGATGAAAAAAGGACACCAGCAATAATGATGGTGGCACCACTCAAAATTGTGTTTCCCATCATAACAACTCTCACGCTGACACAAACACATTAGTCAAACCAGGCCCTCTGAGTCCTGGAGTAATAAAGGGTCATAAAGGAGCTTTAATCCTTGGGTCAAGGTTAATCTCAGGAACAGTACAAAGTTGTAAGAGTCAGAAGGGAAAGCAGGGGGATTATTTGAAAGGAAAAATGAACGAGGAAGTTAACCTTACAATTAGTCCAAAAGTCTTACTGGTCTTCAATATTTTTTTAACCAACTCAACTTCCTATGGGAGGAAGTAGAAATTATGAAGTACGGCTTTTTCTCTCTGTCTGGAATAATTTCTAACCCTGAATGAGTAGCAACTTGCAAAATCAAAGAAAGGGGATATATCTGGAAAAGGGGGTGCGGGCTGGTGAGTCAGGCCTCACAGCTCGGACGGTGCTGCCAAGGACGGCAGCAACTAGAAGGGAAGGTTCCTGGGCTGAATTCCAGACCTGTAACCCTGAGCTTGTTGCATGTGCTGCCTTTCTAATGGCACACAGGAAATTAAGGCAATCTTTAGAAGTCTGACAAAATGCAAAGGTCAAAGTGGCTGCCTAAAGATGCACATAACTATGGTTTTCAAAACCCCAATGAACATGCAATAAATCAAAGTTGTTGAAGAAAGAAGAGCAGTGACTATTTAAATAGAAACATATCCATAAATAACATTTAACTTCAAAACCCAATTTGCAAAACTGCATTATTTTTTAATTTAGATAGTGTGTAATTAACTCAGGGCTATCAAATCCTCCCCCTATCTGGTCACTAGACCACAAATATGGTCACTAAGCTGTACAATAGGCAAGATTCCCTGTCATGGGTGACCACTTTATATCTGAAAACCAGGAGCCTCTTGAAGAGCTGCAAACACACCAGAAGTGCATGCCTATGGCCCTCCTGCCTCTCCCATACATCCACTGACACTGGCTAAGTCCCTAGATTTCCAACTACCAGAACCTCCACCTTCGCCCAGCGGCTCCCCCGACACAGCCTGCTCTGCCCTTGTTTGGGGAAGCTCAGGAGCTTCAGAGAATTAATGCACTTTCACCCATAACAGCCCTCCACAAATAACTGATGAGTGGTTAGGTGTAACTATCCCAGGTTCCTCACCCCTTGACAGGGATGATGTTGAGGTCTGTTTTGTACATGATCGCTGAGTTTTCCAGAAGGATTAAGCTCCAGGAGGCCAGAGTGGTGACTTGCTTAATGATGTGCCCTTTACTGGTTTCCTTCCTTTCTCTGTCTTACCCTAAAGGGGTTTCCTGAAATCACCCCCCCAAATAAACTATTTGTATAAAGATCCCCATCTCATGGTCTGCTTCTACAAGAACTCAAAACAAGACAGGATACAAATCAATGCACAAAAAAACTAAAATCCAGCAGAAGCTAAATAAATTTATTGAATGAATATATGAATGATCTACCCTAACCTGCCTCTAAGCGGGAGGAGCTCTGCTCTGGGTCAGCCAGCACCAGAAATGACGGCTCCTTTCTCTGTTCAGTCCTGGAGCATGGATTCTTAATCTAGTATCCATGAATCAACACCATAAGATCTACAAAGTCCCTGAAATTAGATGCAACATTTTTCTATCTATGTTGTATTTTCCTAAAGATATAGGCCATAACTTTCATCTGATTCCCTTGTGGATGCATAACCTTCAAAGGTTAAGAACCAGTTGTAAATAAAGCTTTGCATCCTGGGGAATTACAATAAGACACAGCCCCTCCTGTGCACACTGGCATGCTAGCAGATCCAGCAGGGTGACAGATTCCCGTAGTGTGCTAGCATATAGTAGCGCTGCACCCTCCCCTGCAGCCAGAGCATACAAAGGCAGTGCCCACCCCCTGGACTACCTGGCCAGCATATGCTTAGCTTCCCTCAGGTCCTTGCCTGTAAATTCTGAACGTTGTTGGTTTTAAACTCCTTCTGTTGTATTTCCTATTGTCCTGTTTTGTGCAAACTCAGAAGTTTTAAGAAATGTAGCACTCTTCAAATGCATACCCTGCAAGAAGTGCGTATCTCAGCATGCGTAAGCGTCTGCCCATCAATCTAGTTCCCATCTCCATCAAACAACAGAGAGCCTGGATAAGGACTAAGAACACAGAGGTACTTGGCTGCACATACGCAACCCAAATGTTTATAACCCACCAATCAATAGTGCCTACTTACGATAAGTTAGAATTGGGACAATGTGAGATGGATGCTCCTCGTTCCCTGAATACATCCAGTTCTTCCGCCGAGAGGTAGCAGCCATGTGCCATCACTGTCTGGAGAGAAGAATGTCTGATGTGGAGTTTACCACCTTAAGAATGCAAAGGTTACCCCCACTCACCGTCAGCTACACTAGCTACAGAGAACAGCTGTGACTTCTCTGCTACCATCTTCACAGGAACATTTATGATTACCTGCATTTATAAACTCACTGTGTACATATTACAGCTCAAAAAAGGCCTGTAAATACATTGGCTTACACAAATCTTAGCAAATTAGCGCATCTAATTTTTTTCTTTTTTTGATCTACAAAATAATGAGGGTTGGTCCAGATGACCAAAAGCATAAGATGTCTACCCAGTTCAAAAATACTGTTGTTTCTTCATTTCCCCTTTAGAAATAACTGTACTATTTTCTTTTCTGAGTCTTCATGGAGAGCGACTGGTGGGGCTCTGCTTGTTGCAGTTCCAATCAGAACATTGTAGAAGTAAGCTTTTCTTTCTCAGCACATGTAATCTGTGGGAGTGATCCTGGAAAGCTGTACTTTATTTTTGCTCCTACTTAAATAGAGGCACCAATGATCTTGACACATATAACCAAATAAGCTTTATTTCTTTTATCACCTATGATCACATTTACATAAAAATTAGGAAATCTAGTATCTTATAAGCATTAATTCAGAAGGTAAAATTGACCTAAGGAGACAGGTACTGCACACATATGAGACTTCTCTTAATTTTTAGTCCTGGTAATATTTGTACATATTCCTGAATAAGACCTTACTCTTTCAAAATCCTTTTTCCCTCAGTACAAAACCTGCTATCTAAAGAGCTTTTCCCTTTGGGAGGCATCGTTCAGTGACCACAGAATTATTATTAAAATAAAAATTTCCCAACCTTTGTGCCGATAAAATGAACATGCAAATTGAAGGTTAATATATTAATCACATGGAAATATATGTAGAAGAGGAAGAAAATTATGGCATAGCATTTACAAGATCTATGCACAGTATTAACCTTTCAAATTAGTCACACTCAGATCTCCATTCCTGGTCCCTGAGAATTTATTTGCTGCACTATTTAAACTCTCTGCAGGTCATACATTCCTTTAAAGCACAGGACAAGAGGTATATTGTTGTAATGAAGTCTTTCCTCTATCATATTAATTTTAATTAATTTAAAATTGTTTATTTATAAGAGTAATACACACTCTTTTTTTAAAAAAGCAATCTCAGATAATTTAAAAAGAAAAAGAAAAAAGTCTTTCTCTCTTCCTTAGGAAGGTCACTTTTAACATTAAATGTGTGTCTTACAATTTTTTTAAGTGAACATACAATATATATATATATGTCTGAGTGTGTGTATATACACATACATCTAACAATATTGTACAAATTTCCTTCCTTGTCAGCCTGTACACTTCATTCTTTGTAAATATTGGATAAAATTCTAATTATATATGTTTTATAATTAGACTGGTAGCCATTTTTAAACTTTTACATGTAATTAACATCCCTGTTCATATTCCTTACAAAACGGACCTTTAGGTCCATCTGCTAACTCAAAGGAATGCACATCTACATTCTAATAGATACTGATAGAATGTTCTTGGACCAAATGACATTTCCACCCTCAAAGAAGCAAGCCTTCAGATTTATTTACTGGGATAAAACTTTAGGCCCATTTTTAACTTTACACCCAGGCATATGCATGCTCTGAGCTTTACTCTAATTTAGGAAATACATGCATGTCATAGAAGTCTGAAGATCACTCCTGAGATTTTAAAATTTAGATAAACATGCCCTACTTTGCACAGATTATGTCATGATATGCAACTTACCTTATTTGTTAGAAGATTGTTCTTATCATACACATCTGTGTAGTTTTTATAACTGGGGTATAAGGTTTTCACTGCATTAACTTCATCAGAATTTTCACTTATATGACTCTACAGGAAAAGAAACAATATTTTCAAATTTTTAATGTAAAACACCATTAGAAACTGTATTTCCTACCCTAAAATTATATGTATGATTTCTACTTGCTTCTGTAAGGGACCACATAGAAAGACAATGAAGATTGTACATATGTTTTATTTAAAACAATTTATATATCATATATAAAATAGGACATATACCTGCCAAAGAAACTATTAGTATACATCTACATGAACATGTACTATTCTAGCCCTAAAGCTAGCCCATGTAATGTTCTCAACAAAGCCTTTTCAAATTCCAACCTATAGCAAGAACAAATAAAAATAAAAAGTTCTCCTTGAAGAGAGTCAAGAGCCTAGTTTTTGTAGCAACCTATGTCTTCTAGTGTTGGTTGTTTAATAAAACAGTGCAGAGGCCATCAAAAGCACAGATTGTATGGTTCACTTCTAAGAAAACCAGAATTTGAATAAAGAGAAATTAATTTTAGTCCAAGTTCTGACCCCAGTTATATGTCTTAGGGAAAGTCAGTGTTTTTCTTTGTGACTCCATTTTCTCATCTCTCAAATAAAAGGGATGGGCCAAATGAGTGATTTCCAAAATCTTTTAACTTTGGATATGTTATTCATATAAAAATTTATAGAAATCCTATATGTAAAAGGCATAAACAAGTTGCCTCTCAGGATGAAGCAGGAGGGGATTCTGGGACCCTATTCCCAGTCCGTTTTCTTTGTCAGCTTCCAGAATGAATTATTCTACAGAAAACACTTTGAAACAATTAAGCTAGAAAACCCTGCAGTTCCACCAAGGGCCCATAAGAATCCATGTGCAAAACAGGGAGTCCAGGCTCCTGCAACGGCCTTTCTCCAGGGCACCACAGGACCTGAGGGGGCATAAAGGGTTTCTGAGATAACACTTCAGTGTAACCATCCCAACCCCTAGCCTAAAAAAAAATCATCCAACTGGTGATGAGTATAATTACAGGAAATAACTCAAGAGCAAGTTACCACTTCCAAGACTGACAGTGCTTTCCCTCCCTCCATGAGGGAGAGCATGCATACACAATGAATCAAAGAAAAAACAGCAATGTTCTAAATACAGAGTATTCCAACTAGAGGATGGGCTTTATCTCCAGCCTTGAGGAAATCCAGGCCACTGAAGAAACACAGGGCATCAGGAAAGAAGAAGGGACACCTGACGATTCAGGTCATTTTGGTCAATTTGGTTAAATGTGTGCACACGCGTGCACACACACACACATACATACACACACACACACCCTGGCCAAGATATATCTGATTTGTTGTGTATCAATGGGTTTCAGTACCCCAAAATAGGGCACTTTGGCACACTGACTCTTTGAAGGTGAAGGAGTCTGAGGAAAGAGCAGAAGTGGGAAGGGCACCCCTCCTCCCTGAAACAAACTGTGAAACTGTTCCTGGAGGGATGCCCGCCCCACCCCCAGAGGACAGGAGCATCCTTACCTCTGAAGATGAAGGGATGCTCAGACAAATCCAAAAAGCAGCCCCCAGCTGACTACACTTACCTCGTACTCCTCAGCTATCACATCTTTGTACATCTGTGCCCTCACCACCAAACCCAGGATAAAAACACTAATGTTTCCTTTCTTCTGGGTCTTCTTTATTAAGGCTCCCATGTCATGATACTCAAGTACATTTGTATGCTTTTCTCCTGTTAATCTCTGTTTGTCAGTTTAGTTTTCAGATCCAGCCAGAGACCCCTAAGAAGGTCGAGAAAAACTTGTTCCTCCCCTGCAACTGTGTGGGATTGAATCAAAAATTCAGATATCACACACACCCCAAAAAAGTGGGGGAGGGGAATATGAGACTAGCTAATCAGACCTAACAAGAAAATCTTTTAAAATATTCCCTCCACCCTACAAAATGATAAAAAATCAATATGTTGCCATTCTCCTAACTTGCCCTTTGTTATAAAATTGTCAACTATTCAGAGGAAAATTTTAGTGCATAATGAAGCCTGGATGGGGAATGGGGAGCTCCCAACTCCCAATTTTAACCTAGCTGGAAGATTTAAAAAGTGTTTTACCGCTAAATTGCAACCACTTAATGACAAAGTACGATATACTTTTTTTTGTTCCCGATTTTAAATTAAGAAACTCAGAACAAAAGGGCTTTGAAATGCATTTTTGTAAGGTGGAAATTAGGCTCTTTTTGCTTTTCAAATAATAGGTGGTGCCTCCAAAAATGAAGGACTTGAACAGTGAGAAAGTATCAAATAAAAGAAAAGAAGGAAAAAAAGTCATTAATGTATCCTCCAGAGAACAGGAAAGCAGTCTGCCATCAGTCTGGCTTGGCTGGTTCTGACCTCATCTCTCTCCCCACGCGGACCAGAGAAGACTGAGCATAAAGGAACGTCAGGTTCCTTGTGTGAAAAATTAAGGACTTGGATTCAAGTGACCTCTGCAGGGTCCTTCCTGTCCTATGATACTATCTCTCTAGGAGATCTCAGTAGAAGAACTGGAGATTACAGCTAGAATTTAGGCACTGAGACGTCCTGCAGGTCAAACAGGAGGGAAATATGCCCACCTGAATGTGCAAATCATGGGTCTTTGCAATGTTTCCGAGTTCAGCCAACAAAGTCTCAGTGCAGGAAAGGGAAAACCGTGGTGTCACGATGGGCTTCACTCGAGAATACTGGAAAAAATAAAATATAATTGGATATCATGAATGTGTAGCATATTCCAAAAATGTGTAGCAAGTTGACTACGTCTTATCTGGGGGAACAGTCACCATTCTAAAGTGGGTGGAAATGCTGGGCTTCATGGAAACAGCTCACGGTTGAACACAAAAGACAGTCTATTCTGTAGCACTGAGTTCAGTGGAAGAAGAGGCTGCCCCAAATGATGGGCGCCCCCACGAAGGCTCAGACAAGCCCAGGTGTGCTGCCTTTGTGAGAAGTAGGAGGCAGAAGTTTTGAAGGTGAGCGCTGGGGAGACTGAAAGCCGGGTGGTGGCCCTTCCACCTCTTGGGGAAGTGTGCTGGCTCTGGCCTCCCGGAGGCCTGTGTAGCTGCTCTGAGGTCACCCGAGGTGAAGGGCCAAGCAGAAGAGGAGGACGCATAGAGGGGTGGTGAGAATAAGAAACCACAAAGCTCCACTTAAGTCTCCCAGGATTGGATTGAAAGACACTGAGCTTCACTCTGGTTTCCAATCAAACCTCAAGAGACAGTAAGGGAAGGGGTCTAGCTCACCAATCTAAGCAATTGCATGATGGAGCCACGGACCAACCTGCAGGGGGTAGGGGCAGCAAAGCGCTGCCTCCATAGGCTCACCAACTCCAGGGCACCACAAAGGGCTGTCTGGCCGAGTGCCTGTGGGCCATGTGGCACACCCACATACACGGACCAAGGCTACCTCTGACTGGGGCAGCAGAGCTGCATGCCACCTGGGTCCCAGACCAGAGCAGGGTATACAAGAGGCCAGAGTCAATGAGGACATAGCTAACATATCATGCCACATCTTCTAGTTATCACAGAGATGGCCACATCCAGGAAGCCCTCCCCAACCTCCTCAGAGATGAGTCCTAGGAAACTAGAAGGTCCCAGAGGAGAGGAAGGGAAAACCAGTGAGAAAGCAAAAAAAAAAAAAATGACTCACCTACTGAGCTGCACTGATGGGTCCACTGTGAAAACAATTTAAGGTTCGAGAAAAATACTTCTGCATGTACAGAATAAGCCAAATGCACACAGACTAATCTCTACCAAACAACTAATGATAAATCCTCCAAAAACAAGCTGGGAACAAGTTTACTTACATTCTTTTGGAGCATTTCTGACACAAATCTGAAATAAAGCAACAAATGGCAAGTTACCAGATCTAGGTGTTTTTAAATAAAATTTCCAGAAGGATCCTTACATGTCCCAAATTCCAGGCAAACATTTCTAGCACTATACATGTTTCACACCACTAATTAAAGATTAACAAGCAGTAATTACTCTCTGCTTTCTCATTTGCAGCCAGAGAACTGAGGTGCAAAATCACAGGGAAACACAGTGTTATCACCTAACATCAGCGAGGCTGTTCATGAGTGTTCCCACAGCCCTAAAGCCGTTCTACCAGCTTAAGTTCTGTCTGGGAGAATTTTGCAATATATTAACTTCCATGGACATTAGAGTCTGGAGTCCTATTTACCTGGAGGCATTTAGAAGCCATGGGGCTCTCTTCTTCTAATTTCGCTGAAGTGGAGGCTGCTTGCCAACACAGTGTCATTTATCTTGAAAGGCAGAGTGCTACTGGGCGCAGATGTTGGAGTAATGCAGAAGGAATGGGCAGGGGTGGTTATGAAATGGCGACCTTACCACTTATATCTGCAGGATGGCGGTATGTGTAAGGCTTATGAAATGGCTGTTTCTGCACTCGCTGTTAATATTTACTAAGCTATAGCTTCCTGCCTTTTGATATTCCTTTGTTTCAGAATGCAATGCAGATTAAGGTTTACCACGACCACAAACACAGATTCATTGAAAAGCTGAACATGGGCCAGTGCTAATGGGAAGGTGCATGCTTCCTTCTTTCTGTGAGCCTGTAGCAGTACAGCCCCTCAGCCACCCTTTTCAGAGGACAAACTTAAGATGAAGTTGGGCTGGAGAGTGGAGAAAAGTTGGACTTATAATTTGCATCATGATAGGTTTGTTCTTGGGGAAAATTTAAATTCCAAGAATTTTCTTCTATATCTTCTGGTTACTGAGTGTCATACAATTCCTTGTCAAAGACACAAGGCATCATGGAAAAGCCATTAAAAAAATGTACAAAAAGTAATTATAGGACCAGTAGAATATCACAATGTAATATTAAAAGAACAGCAACAACTCATGATCTCAGGGAAGAGGATGCCCCACAATCAGAAGCACTTTAATAAACAAGCCATGCACACTTAAAGCAAGTCCAACCTACAGGAGAATCCTCCACATATAGAATGAAAGAGAGGGAATAGATAACTCATTAACTTTTAAAAAGAATCCTTCATTTTACAAAGGTATTCACCCTAGGTCTCCTGCAAGTTCCCAGAGGTTTTATAATATAATTTGATATACAAAAATAGTACTGATATGCAATATTTGCATTAGGACCAGACCAATTTCATAAAGTTGGGCAAGTCCACAGAGCCCATCAAGCCTGGCCCACAGAGGCCACCTCCCTCCTTCTCTGACTGCATCAGTGCAGCAGAAGGACTACCCACAAGACAGCTGAGATGAACATACCTCTCGGTTTCCTTGATTGAGTCTTCAGTGGTTTCCTTGTATTTTGGAACAGTGTCATTCAAATCCATGCAGACTTTGCCCACAAATGCCCGCTGCCCAAATTTATCTGTGTGCCACACACAAAAACAATCTGAACTCAGATTTCTGTCCCAAACAGTACCTTTCCTGAGACCTTAAAAAACATTTTTAAATTAAACCACTATGAAAATGTAAGTGAGAATGTAAGAGATCGTCATACCATTTAAGAACATAAACAACAACAAAGCCCCAGTAAATTCTGTAAAGTTACTTGCATTGACTCCTTATTTCCCTGATTATGCCCAAGACAGTATTATTTGTTTATAGTCTAAACCTATACATGTCCAATGTCCTCTGCCATGTGCAGGGTTATGAGGAACACACCCAACAGTCTATATGATGTATCTGGCACAGAGGGTTTAGAAAACGTACTGCTGCTATTCTTAACCGCAGCAATGCCAATATTATTATTTGTGGGGAATTTTTCCTAGTCCTATTAGCAGTTCTCATCATTAAATAACCTAGTCCTCATCAGAGGTACCAGGGAATTCTATTTTGGCTAGAACATTGAAACTACGTGGGACAATGTTTATATTGTTTTACAGGGTCTTCACCACATCATAAGAATCTTTCCAAAGTCTTCCCTGGCCCCTATAATTCATTGTAATACTTGGCCATTAGATTACTCTTCCTTAAAACATCACCTTTGTCACATACTCCATCTGGCTCAAAACCTTCTTTGAGTCTTTGATGCATATTCAAACTTCTCCACAGTCTGAACCACCCCAGCTTCTGCCCTCTTCTCCCCCCCACCATGCAATGAGTTCTCTCCTCCAGGTCAGCAGCTCTGTCCCCTGTGCCCACTGTAAATGTTCTTGTCTCCACACCTTTATCCATGTTATTTTCCCTGCCTAGAAGACAGTGTCCTGTCTCTTCATTCCATCTCCCTTTAGAGCCCAATTTAAGGCCCCTTCCAAAAATTCTTCCCAGACGGCTCAGGTCTGGATTCTCTCTGCCTCTCCCAAAACGGCGGTGTTTGTTTTCAGCATTGCCTTCAGACCATTGGCATGAACCACTGTCAGCAAGCAGTGTCATCAGCACACCAGCCAATGGCATTTACTGAGCAGCTGCTGCATGCTTGGCACTGTGCTATGTACGAGTTATGGGATCTCTGATCTAAACCCAGTCTGAGCTCTGCTTACCAGCCTGGGCATGTTACATACTCTGAGCATCAGTTTACCCATCATAATGGAAGGACATTCATAACTAGTTCTGAAGGCTGTCTGCAACCGAGCTGGCATAACCCACACGAGTGCTCTGCCAGTGCAAAGCCAGGCATCTGGGAACAGGACAGCAGCTGTTACTAAAGTAATTCACCAAGTGTATAGTTATTACTCAGTTAATCCTGTCTGGCTCCTCAAGGGCAGAGACTATTTTCTGTTCATTATGCTGCCAGCATCTAGCACAGGGCCCTGAGTCTAGACAACAGAAAAGACATGTCTATGGATTAGAATATAATAAACTATTGCCATAGCTAGAATTAATAAACCTGCTCCCAAAAGCCCTAAATTAATACATAAAAGTCAGACCCATACACATCACTCTGGAACCAAAAACCACAAGTAAATAATCAAATTACTGAAAAAACAAAGAACATTCTTGGGCCAAACACCTAATTAATTGTAAGAAATGCAGTGCCCAAATTCTAGTAATGAAAAGGCAGGGCTGCCCACAAGGATAAGTCATTGCCAGGCATGGTCTGGCTGTCTTGGCTTGAGGTGCTCATAAATCAGGCTTTCATCTCCTCACCTGTAATTTCTGCAAGGAGCAAAGATGAGTTAGTGTGAATTGTTCCAAAGTAACAAGCTGTGGTTGTCCCATTCTTTAGTGTTCTCCTCTAAAAATAAATCACAGAAACCATGAATCATGTGTGCTCAGAAAAGTCACATGGTATATAAAGATGAAAACATAATTGTAGTTTATAATTTAAAAATTATTTTTATTTAAAAGTATGCCATCTTGGCAACTGACACTATGGAAGAATACACTTATACATGATTTATCTGATAAGGGGTTAACATCCAAACTATATAAAGAGCTCATACACTTCAACACCAAAAATATACCAAATAACCCAATTAAAAATGGGTGGAGGGCCTGAACAGACTTTTCTCCAAAGAAGAAACACAGGTGGTCAAGAAACACATGAAAAGATGCTCCACATTGCTTATCATCAGGGAAATGCAAATCAAAACCACAGTGAGATATGGCTTCACATGGATCAGAATGGCCACTACCCAAAAAACAAGAAATAACAAGTGTTGGCGAGCATGTGGAGAAAAGGGAACCCCGGTGCACTGTTGGGAATGTCAATTGGTGCAGCCACCATGGAAAGCAGTATGAAGGTTCCTTAAAAGAACAAAAAGAGGAATACCATGTGATCCAGTAATTCCACTTCTAAGAATTTACCCAAAGAAAACAAAATCCCTGATTTGAAAAGATAAACACACCCCTATGTTTATCACTGCATTATTTACAATAGCCAAGTTAGGGAAGCAACCAAAATTCCATCAGTAGATGAATAGATAAAGAAGATGTGGTATATATACACAACGGAATATTATTCAGTCATAAAAATGAAATTCTGCCATTTGCAACAACATGGCGGGACCTAAGGGTATTATGCTAAGTGAAATAAACCAGGTGAAGAAAGACAAATACCATATGATTTCACTTACTTGTGTAATATAAAAGCAAGACAAAACAAAATGAACAAAATAGCAATAGACTCACAGATGCTGAGAAGTGACTGGTGGTTACCATAGGGGAGGGGTTGGAGTGGGTAGGGAGAGAGGGTGGGTATGTGGGAGAATATAGAGGAAAATGGTAGAAGACTTTTTTAACACTTAACAACTTAATCTAATAGAAATTTAAAAATCATGGAGACAGAGAACACAATCTTTTTAAAAAATGTGCAGACTGATCATAAAAATTGACCTTTTGTTATGTCATAAAATAACATAGATAAAGGAGCACAAAAATTCTCAATCATAATGTAAGTTGGTCATAGTGATGGAAGTACAGCATGAAGAATACAGCCAATGATTCTGTAACATTTTCCTATGTTGACAAATAGTAACTGCACTAGTGGGGGTGAGGATTTAGTAATATACGGGTAACTTCTGAACCACTGTGTTCTATACTTGAAACCAATATAAGATTGTATATCAATGATACTTCAAATCAAAAAAAAGTATTCCATCTCGATATGAAATACAGTTAAGGTAAATGGCAAAAGTATTATATTCTAAAAATGAAAGCTGGAGAAACTGATACTTTTGATTTCCTAGATTCATACAGTTCTGTGTTAGAGAATTCAAAAAATGTGATACTAGTTAATTCCTTTTTTTTAGGTTTATTTAAGGATATCCAAACTTTATTGCACCTAGGAGTGAATAAATAAGGTTTTTCTATCACAGAGTAAAATTATTTAGTCAGATTTCTAGTTCAGTTTGGCAAATAGGTCACATGCATTTAGTTCCCTTCCTGAGCACATTTCCACTAAAGTAACAGTAAAGGAGTATAAAATTTATAACTTGCAGGAAGAATATAAGAGGAGACATGGGCAAAGGAAACATTTCAACATCTTCTTAAAAGATAAAAACATGGATGAGAACCTTGGGGGCAACTTGTTAAGAGAGGGAAAAGCTTACAGTTATTAACAGGGAATTGGCTGCAAATCTAATTACATATGATTAAACCCTGGCAGGACTTCTCTCTCTTGAAACCAGCCAACTACCCTAACCTAATCTTTGCAGGAGAGATTTACTCTTTGTAGAAATTGAGTCATATTTAGAGAGTATAAACCTAAAAGGACAAAGGGAGGCAGAGGCTGAAAAGAAGAGGTTTAAGTGGATAACCTGGCTCTGGGACCCTTGATCATTTTCCCCAATATGCCACATCTGCAACTCCCACCACTCCTGGCAGGACTGAAGAACTCTTTCCTAGAAAAGATAAGTTCTAAAAAACTCATCTTCTAAAGAAAGACATCCTCACAATGTGGGGGGACATTTGGGGACCACAACTGAAAGTGCTTTTTACTGCCTTTACTGTTCATCCTATAATGAAGTTCACTAGTCAACAAGTGATACCTCCATCCACATCTACCATCAGCATCTTAAAGCATCACACTGAAATACAGAGGTGGGTTCAAGATTCAACAGACACTGCAGAAAAGCTTCTGCACAAAAAAGCATGGAGGAGGAAGAAAGAATCTGAAAAAATCTTGTAGAAAACCCACAATCTATAAGGTTAGCAGCTTGATTTAAAAATAAAACTATAATTAATATTCTCAAAGAAATGCAAGATGTTACACCCATAAAACAAGAATAGAATACTGTGAAAATTAAAGGACAAGAGCTCTCCAAAAGTAAAAATTTCATAAATGAAATTTGGAAGTCAATAGAAGGATTGCAGGATAAATTAAAAGAGATTCTCACAGGGAAAAAAAATACTTTGGACTTAGGATAATAGGGAAGAATAAAATACCTAGGAATAAACTTAACCAAGGAAGTGAAAGACCTATACCCTAAAAACTACAAGACACTCTTAAGAGAAATGAAAGAAGATCCAATAAATGGAGACTCATCCCATATCACAGGTTGGAAGAAATAATATTGTCAAAATGGCTATCCTGCCTAAAGCAATCTATAGATTCAATGCAATTCCTATCAAAATACCAATAGCATTCTTCAATGAACTATAGAAAATCATTCTAAAATTCATATGGAACCACAAAAGACCTCGAATAGCCAAAGCAATTCTGAGAAGGAAGAATAAAGCTGGGAGGATTATGTTCCCCAACTTCAAGCTCTACTACAGAGCCACAGTAATCAAGACAATTTGGCACTGGCATAAGAACAGACCCATAGACCAATGGAACAGACTAGAGAGCCCTGATGTAAACCTAACCAGATATGGTCAATTAATATATGATGAAGGAGCCATGGATATACAATGGGAAAATAACAGCCTCTTCAACAGCTGGTGTTGGCAAAATGGGACAGCTATATCCAAGAGAATGAAACTGGATTATTGTTTAACCCCATACACAAAAGTAAACTTGAAATGGATTGAAGACTTGAATGTAAGTCATGAAACCATAAAACTCTTAGAAGACAACATAGGAAAATATCTCCTGAATACAAGCATGAGCAACTTCTTCCTGAATACATCTCCTTGAGCAAGGGAAACAAAAGCAAAAATGAACTCATGGGACTACATCAAACTAAAAAGTTTCTGTACGGCAAAGGACACCATCAACAGAACAAAAAGGCATCCTACAGTATGGGAGAATATATTTGTAAATGGCATATCCGACAAGGGGTTAACACCCAAAATAAATAAAGAACTTACACATCTTAACACCCAAGAAGCAAATAACCCGATTAACAAATGGGCAGAGGATATGAAGAGACAGTTCTCCAAAGAAGAAATTCAGATCGCCCACAGACACATGAAAAGACACTCCACATCACTAATCATTAGGGAAATGCAAATTAAAACCACAATGAGATATCACCTCACACCAGTAAGGATGGTCAGCATCGAAAAGAGTAAGAACAACAAATGCTGGTGAAGATGCTCAGAAAGGGGAACCCTCCTACACTGCTGGTGGGAATGTAAGCTAGTTCAACCATTGTGGAAACAATATGAAGGTTCCTCAAAAAACTAAAAATAGAAATACCATTTGACCCGGGAATCCCACTCCTTGGAATTTACCCAAAGAATACAACTTCTCAGATTCAAAAAGACATATGCACCCCTGTGTTTATGGCAGCACTTTTTACAATAGCCAAGATACGGAAGCAACCTAAGTGTCCATCAGTAGATGAATGGATAAAGAAGATGAGGTACATATACACAATGGAATACTATTCGGCCATAAGAAAGAAACAAATCTTACCATTTGCAACAACATGGATGGAGCTGGAGGACATTATGCTCAGTGAAATAAGACAGGTGGAGAAAGACAAATGCCAAATGATTTCCTTCATTTGTGAAGTATAACAACGAAGCAAAACTGAAGGAACAAAATAGCAGCAGACTCAAAGACTCCAAGAAGGAACTAGTGGTTACCAAAGGGGAGGGGTGTTGGAAGGCTGGTGGGGAGGGAGAGAGAAGGGGATTGAGGGCTATTATGTTTAGTACACACGGTGTGGGGGATCACGGGGAGAACAGAGAAGGCACATAGTGGATCTGTGGCAACTTGTTGAACTGATGGACAGTGACTGCACTGGGGTATGGGTGGGGACTTGATAATATGGGTAAATGTAGTAACCACATTGTTTTTTCATGTGAAACCTTCATAAGAGACAATCATAAGAAACAATCATACCTTAATAAAAAATTTAAAAAATGAAAGATAATAGGGAAGAGCATGCCCTTTCTTAGCAGTCTTTACTCAGCTTTAGCTAATTGTTGTAAAAAAGCAAATGAGAGCCCAATGATGACAGTCGCAAAGGTTGAAAGAACCTGGAAGTTTGGATTTTTATGTTAATCTTTTCTAATTGCACATGAAGTAAAATACGTCTGGATGCCAGGAGAGGATATTTAGAGCCTTTCAAACAAGGATGAGTTTTTTATCAGAATCACAAATCCTGGAGAAAAGCTAATGACATGACAGAGGCATCAAATTCACTCTCCAGCAACTAGAAGAGTATCTGGATCCTAGCATGCGCTCCATGAATATTTCTTAAATGAACACCAGCGGAAGCAGAATTACTAAGAACAAGAGATACAGCATGAATTAAAATTAGCATCCTTAGATGAATAGGACAGTACTTTGTACCTTTGAAAGAGAAATAGGCCATTTTAACAGTAAAAGTTAGTTAATAACTTGTAAAATTAGGCCACAGCATTATGAATGTATACAATAGAGACACAAAAGTATATACACAAGTTTCAACATTTTTTAAAACATCTGAGAATGGGAGGAAGACAGAAGTTTTCATATTGAAAGAACTACATATTAAAGAGAATGAACTGAAAAAAGATCTGTAAGTAAAACTTCAGAACATAAAGACTGATGAGAAAAATCTTGAAGATGAGTAAATTAGTCAGAAAGCAATAAGAATCTGATTGATAACAGCACATTGGCTGCTAGTGGGCGAATCATGTCACACAGAATTCCCTCTACAGCTGAAGCACATCGTTTGAGAGTCAGAACAAATTAAAAACATTTTTAGTGATTCAAAGATTTGGAGTGGTTTATCAGCCACCTTATTGGAAAGGATTATCAGAGGTCATATTCCAAGAAAATGAAAAAATGAACCCAAAAGTAAGGCAAAGAATCCAAGTAGCAAAAGAAAGAAATAAAGCACATTGTTAAATTAAGCACAGATGTTGAAAATAAAAAAGTGGAATTAAATTTAATTTACATTGGAAAGTTAAATTATTTTAAATTAAGGGTAGATGGGGAAAAAAATAAACTGGAACTAAAATCTGCTGAAAATTATATAGATGATATAGCAAAGGACATGGTGAGGGGTACATACAGATAAAGGAGGAAAAAGTATATCAACTTCTTTTCTTGTTATATGGAAGAATATGAAGGAGAATGATCGACTTGTTTAACACTTAACAACGTAATCTAACAGAGACTTAAAATATCATATAGACAGAGAACACAATCTTTTTAAAAAATGTGCAGAACAATCATAAAAACGGACCTTTTCTTAGGGCATAAAATAACAGTAAACCAATTCCCAAGAAAAATAATCACCCAAGTTGCATTCACTAACCAGAACAAAAGGAAACTTGAAATTAAAACAGAAGCATAATCTAACATTTTCTAAATTCTCAAAAATTTAAACACCCTTTTAAATCTTGGCTTGAAGATGAAATCAAAGTGGAAAATTTTGGGTATTTAGTAACGAGGGTAATGGACACACCATACAGACACTGGCAGCGAGTCCTTCTGAGAAACCACCATTGCAAAATGGACAGGGCTAAACTAAAGAGACTAGAAATTTCAAGATCTCCCCAAATTATAGTTAAGGGACAGTATGGGGGGCAGGGAGGGGCAGGGGAGGAAGAAAGAACCCCCAAAACTACTCCCCATTTGTTCCTACTGAATTCAGTCCATTTAACAAACCAGCCACAGGTGTGTGACTCATACAACTGAAAAAAGAATAAGAAAGGAGTTTTGCTTAGAAATCTTACTAGACAGGCCATCTGAAACACAGCTACTTTCCTCCTCCATATGGTCTGTGTTTGGACTTCTCAGGACCTCTTCCACTCATTTCTCATACACTTTCAAGAGGGCTCTTCCATTAACGACATCTGTATTTTTCCCATGTATAAAGAAATTTATCAGGAGTAACATCAGATAAACTGTTGGCTGTGTTTCCCAACCTTTCCTCAATCTTCAACTCTTGGCAAGAAGGGTTTTTAGACCAAGCTTTTAGAGCCCAAAATAGACTCCAGACTTAGGATGGCCATGCACTTCAAGGCCAATCACAACACCTCTTAACAAATTAGATAATTTCCAGTGAGCAGAAAGAAGGGGAAAGAGTGCTCGACTCCCGTTGTTTTCACGGTGTGCTCTAATACCTTGGAACTAGGAGGATTTATCTGCTGCGTCTCTGACAACCCCATAGCGTAAGCATATTCATTCCATCATCCAGAATATTTACAACTAGTCTGTCTTGGCACATTTACCAAGGATCCCACTCTAAATCCTCGACTATGATCTATATAATATATAGATTCCTGAACTTATTAGCATTTTTAGCTTATTCCAGTACAATTTAAATAGGCAGCCTCCAGCCTAGGGTTAGTTCTAGATAACAAATCTCTGCTTATCCAACTGTTTAGATCCAACTAAAATAATCAGAAACATAGGATGTACATGAATATTTGTCAAGAATAAAATCTATTTTGTACTTATTGCCATCATACTTCAACAAATCTCTGAAGTAAGAAATAATATTTATGGAATACTGCCTGAGGGATAGAGAGTTCTAAATATTCTAACTCTTTAAACAAAACACTGGTACATCTGGACTTTTTTATACTATAGCACCTCAACAATATATTGACAACATTACATGTGTCCATGTTAAGGGTTATTGGAATTAATTTTTAAGAAAATCAGCATGAGATTAAAACCACAATGAGATATCACCTCACACCAGTTAGGATGGCCACCATCCAAAAGACAAACAACAACAAATGCTGGCGAGGATGTGGAGGAAGGGGAACCCTCCTACACTGCTGGTGGGAATGTAAATTAGTTCAACCATTGTGGAAAGCAGTATGGAGGTTCCTCAGAATGCTCAAAATAGAAATGCCATTTGACCCAGGAATTCCACTCCCAGGAATTTATCCTAAGAATTCAGGAGCCCATTTTCAAAAAGACATATGTAGCCCTATGCTTATTGCAGCACTATTTACAATAGCCAAGAAATGGAAGCAACCTAAGTGTCCATCAGTAGATGAATGGATAAAGAAGATGTGGTACATATACACAATGGAATATTATTCAGCTACAAGAAGAAAACAAATCCCACCATTTGCAACAACATGGATGGAGCAAGAGGGTATTATGCACAGTGAAATAAGCCAAGTGGAGAAAGACAAGTATCAAATGATTTCACTCATATGTGGAGTATAAGAACAAAGAAAAAACTGAAGGAACAAAACAGCAGCGGACTCACCGAACCCAAGAATGGACTAACAGTTACCAAAGGGAAAGGGACTGGGGAGGATGGGTGGGAAGGGAGGGATAAGGGGGAAAAAGGGGCATTACGATTAGCACACATAATATGGGGAGGGGGGCACACAGGGAAGGCAGTATAGCACAAAGAAGACAAGTTAGTGATTCTATAGCATGTTACTACGCTGATGGACAGTGACTGTAATGGGACATGTGGTGGGGACTTGAAAATGGGGGGAGTCTAGTAACCATAATGTTGCTCATGTAATTGTACATTAATGATACCAAAATAAAATTAAAAAAAAAAAAAAGAAAATCAGCATGAGGAATAGACATGTTTTATCTTAACAAACAGTATAATTTTTATATACACAGTATAAATTACATAATTGATTGCCCTCTCTGGGTAAGCTGCTACAAACTTAAAGCCAAATTTGTGACACACCCTAACAGATGCATGCCCCCCTACTCCATGGCATACATTTACCTCTTGGTTTTATATTTCCTCCTACCTGCCTTTTTCCTTTGCTGTGATTTCATGACTCATTTTCTTCCATTGTGTACTATGCAATTTTAAGATATCTCAAACCCTTTTTAGAACAATGTGAGGTATAAATACATTTTGAGAATAAAAGGATTTGGTGTGTTAACACAATTCATTAACACAATGCACTAGCAACCTCATGCACAGCTTTAGTCCATTTCAGCTTTCCTGGTGTTATGTGGATGCATGTTAAATACATATGATCCACAATGACACTGAATTTATAACTAAAAGAGACAGGTACATAAATGACAGACAGCATTTGCTCTTACTCTTCAAGGATTAAGTGATGCAAGACCAGGGAAACTGGCAGGATGGCTAGGTCACTGTACAAGGCTTACGATATTGTCACCATCACATAGCCATTATGCTAACAGAAAAACCATCAATGGGTCCAACAAAAATACAGAAATGTTCAGACTAATTGTGCTGAACAGCAAGATGTAGGGGTTAGATAAGAAGATATTTGCAGAAGGTATTCCCAAGCAGAAGCTTTTCTGGTTGCTGAGTGTATTGAGCATAGAGTTGGAGTAGAAAGAAGGGAACCGATTTTCTTGAGAGACAAGAAGGAAGGACATTTTCAGAACGCTCAAAATATAGTTGGCACATACTCCAGCCACTGTTCTAGGACTGAACTAGCTCCAGAGTTCCCTCTAGTGGTGATAAGGCTAGTCACACTCCCACAAGCGCTGCAATAAGGGTCATCCTATTTTCCCTCCTTGCAAGCAACCAACATAATGTGATATCTTTTCTAATTGTAATTTGAAATTTTAATTTTAAATTTCCTTGGATATTTTTTTAAAGCCAACACAGAGTGTGCTTACCATGTGCCAGGTACTATTCTCAGAACCTTACAAATATTAACTTGCTTAATTATCATAACAATCCTACAAGGAAGATACTGTCATTATCTCTATTTTTTTATAAATGGGGAAAATGAGTCACAGGACTTTCCAAAGGTTAAACAGCTATCCCATACATATGGTCCCAGAACAGCACGGTGGATTGGCAGGAGTAAGGCAACACACATACGCATTCAACTCAAATTGAGTAAAGGAAAACACAGGAAGTAAAAGACGGAGAATAATGAGAGCCCACCAGATTGGGGATCTGGGGATTTGGATTCAGGTTCTCTCTCCATAGGGAGGTGAGGTGCTCACAAACTCCGTGGGCTGTGAAAAAACTAAAGACGTCTCTATAGTCCATTCTAGCCTTTAACTGTGTTTTATAATTACAATCTGCCCCAAGAAATGGGTGTTTCTGCAGGTGATGGAACAGAATATAGCACTGTTCCCAAGCAGGATACTTACAACAACTTTGGTGTACACCTCCTCGGCAAAGTCCGTGCTCTGGAATCTGTATTCCACTGGAAATGTGTATTTGGTCAGCCACTCCAAAAGTGGTAGGTCTACATTACTCCCAGCGAAATAATACTGAGGGGCATGGATATGTGTATCGATCAGCCCAGGCATGAAGAACTCACTGGAAATGAAAATGAGAGAAAAAGAATCCATCAACATCGTTAGTCATTCTCGTCATCTTTAAATCGTGTTTTCTCTCACCAGTGATTTAATTGCTCATCCCACACAGGTGTAGAACTTGATAAAATCAGATGACTGTAAATTCTCCTATCATGTGGAGGTCAGGAAATAAAAGTGAGTGAAACTTTGCTAGGAAAAACGCAGATCCTAAGTTGGGATGGCTGATGTGAGGTTACCCAAAATGATGGACAGAGGAAAAAGGACCACACTGGGGAGAAGCAAAGCAGCCACTGCCCAACGGAGGGGGGAAGCGGCGATTTCATCCTCTGACTTGGTTCTCACCATTGGGAGTGGCAGGACCGAGCAAAGATGAGGGAGGAGGTCTTCAAAACTTCCAGAGCTGTGCTGAGGAGTGATACACAAGTTCACTGAGGATAGTAGGACTGGAAACAGAGTGCCCGTGATTTTAGGTCTGATAGTCATGATGACCTGGGCTGACTGCAAGAGATCTCGTCCCTTCCCATGTGAGGTAGGAGCTAAGTTCTCAGACGAACAGCAAGAGCAAACTGAGGCGGCCTGGGGAGTGTCAGTGGGAGAGGGGTGTGCGTGGTTGAGTGAAGCGACAGGCGTGGTGCTACAGCCATTATTCAGGTGCTACCGAGCACTCCCGTTACCCTGAGCCGTCAATTGGTTTTCATTTTTCCATTAATTCTTATAACAGAAATTCCTGGAAAGATGTTTCTAACCATTTTCAGAGGTACTACCCACATGACTGAGGCAGCCTAATACTAACAGATACAGCTTTTCTAAAGAACTAATCCAGTTCCCTGATGTCTGGCTAGTATCTAATCACATCCAAAAAGATATTGTTAAAAGATAAGTATACATCACCACCACCATCATCCTCAGGAAATACTAATTACATTTAATACACATAAGGAGACTGTACTCAAAACTTGACATAACAACAAATCCCTTACACTGCCAACACAGATGAATACCACCTACATGGAGACAAAGCCGTGGGTATCTATAAGTGCTTTATTTTTAAAAAATGAGAACTAGGTATGGTGGTAGTGATGACAGCGACAACAGGGACAGCAGGTGATGTTCACTGAAGGTGCATGCGTCCTAGGCACTATGTGCACCATCTTCTCGGTGGGAGGTGGCAGGGGTTCAGATTAGATGTTGACTCACACTGCCTGATTTTGAATTCAGAGCCTACCTTAAACCAGCAACAGCATATTCAACATGTTATTCTACCTCTCTGTGATCAGTTTCCCCTTATGTAAAGTGGAGGTAGTAGTTAACACCATAGGGCTGTTGTGAGAATTGAGTCAACGTGTGAAATCACCGCCTTGGTCATGGAAAGCACTCAAAAAAATATTAGTTGTGATGATGTAATGCTCACAACAAAATTAGGAAGCAGCATTATTATTCTACATAAGAGATAAATGAAGCTCAGGAAATAGAAGTAGCTTGAAAAAAACTGTAATCATTCAACTAGTCAGTCAGCTTTGGAAACAAGATTCAAGTCCAGGCAGTTCACTGAAGGCTCGGGACTCGGCCAGTACCCTCTGCGTGACTGACTGTCCATCACTCTGGAAGTGAAGAGAGGTGGCTGCCCGCAGGTATGGCAGGCAGGAAGGCAGTACCCAGCGGGCCTGCAGCGTGGGGGCCAGGCCTATCAGCTTTCTTCTTTTCATTTTACTTAATCACTACCCTAATTCCCTTAGAAAATTTTGACTTTCCCTAGATAAAAACCATTGTCTTCACATGCCCACCCTGCAGTGCCAGCCAAGCTACATCAGAACCTGAGGAAAAAGAACAATGCGAGCCTCTACATACACTGATCAAAATGGCCACCCTTTCTTTAATCAAGTGGCAAATGTTAATGGAAGTTCTACAATCAAAACACATGATGGTGTGCAAAGGCCTGAGCTGTCCAGTCTGTTCGCACACCATTGTCAATCCTCACCCACACGCCCTGTAGGGTATACAATGGCCCCATGGGCTTGGGGGCCCTGGGACATCTGAAAATGACCATTGTGTTGCACAGAAACACAAACATGTATAACAATCAACACAGGTAGTGTCCTATCTTTATTGACATTTTGGTATTTTGCTCACCGTGGATTTTTTTGCATTCATTTAGATTTTTTGAAATACTGCATTAAACTGTTATTTATCTTTATCACTAATCTTTTTGCTCTCCCGCACCCCACCCTGAAATTTGTGCCCAAGGTAAATGCCTTGCCCTAATCCTGACCCTGCCAACCTCTCTATGGTCCATGGCCACAAGTTGATCCACTCTTGTTAAAACACTGCTCAGTGCTCCACTTGAAATTTTCATTAGAAAGAAAAAT